ACTGCTGAAACTAAACCTGTTAGCAAAATATCTCATTAATGAGTTTTAATAATAATAATAATAATAATAATAATAATAATAATAATAATAATAATAAGAAGAAGAAGAAGAAGAAGAAGAAGAAGAAGAAGAATAAATTTATTTGAAGGCACGTTTCATACTCAAGTGTAAAATACAATATAAAATGAAGTAAAAAAACAGCAAAAGAATAAAACAACAAATAAAAATAACTTAATTAAAGGTGATGAGGTTTGGAGGTTAAACTGAATGTGTCTGTTTAACCCCTTAACGATCATAAGGGGTCTCATCTGCTCCACCGGTGGGCAAAGAACTGTGCGGTTTCTCCCTTTAAACATTGCTAGATGCTACCAGGGTCTGAGAACCAGGGCGTCAGACAACTTTCTACCGTTCTTACCTTTAGTTTGACACCCTTACAAAAAATAAATGTCAAAAGGCTTTTAAAGAATTTCGGGGGGTGAGGGGGGTGGGGGCTGTTTAGTGGTAAAAAGAAGGTTTTAATTTGTGATATGGTGGGAGCGTTTTTAATGTCTGCGGGTGGCGGTGTTGTGCATTCCAGAGGTGTGGAGTGACTGAAAGCTCTTTTGAACCCATAGTTGTCAGACGAGCTGGTGGTTAGGTGGACGAGGACCTGCAGACCTGCAGACACTGGGAGACAAGGGTTGTGAATTGCAATAAACTTAGATGAGCAGTTTTGGATGAGGAATAGCAGGACCAGATGATGAAGGTGAGCCTGGAGAGAGTCTTCTAGATTGAATGCACACCCAGGCTTCATTAAGACAAAATTTGATGTGGTAGTAGCTGAGAGTCATTTACCAGACAAACAATACCTCACAATTTCACCATGAGATAGCACATAACATTATCTTTCGAATTTGGCAAAAAACATCTCCAACTCCTATTTTCTCAACAAAACTCATGAAAAATGGCAGGTGATATATCTTCAAGACAAAAATGAACTTTAATTCCATTTTTTTGTGGAAGTTGAACAAAAAATGAAAACCCAAATCATTTCAAATCACACTGAACCTATTCTAACAAACGAGCAGTAATGTAACATTTCTTTAATTTATTACCTCAGCTGAACTGTTTAAAGCTTTAAAACCTCTGGAGCGTTTTCTGTTTGCAGGAAGGAAAATGAGTGCTGGCCTGCAGCAGAGAGTGTTTACTCAGACAGAATAAAAGGCTCCCCCTTCCCCATCAGTAATGCATCACATCTGATTGACGTATGACTCAGAGCTAAACATCCATCAGAACGAGACTCAAGTGCTGTGGGGATTCAGAGCAGTAACGGCTGGTATAAGTGGGCTAGTAGGGCTAAGCCCTCCCTGGTGTTCACAATAAAAATGTTAAAATAAACAATATTATATAAT